GTAGTGGTAGTACTAGTAGAAATAGTAGTAGTAGTAGCAGTAGTAGTAGTAGTAGTAGTAGTAATAGTCGTAGTAGTAGTAGTAGTAGTAGTAGTTGTAGTAGTAGTAGTAGTAGTAGTCGTATAGTAGTAGTAAATTGTAGTAGTAGTATTAGCAGTAGCAGTAGCAGTAGCAGTAGTAGTAGTAGTAGTAGTAGTAGTGGTAATAGTACGAGCAGTAGTAGTAGTAATAATAGTAGTAGTAGAAGTAGTAGTCGTAGAAGTAGTAGAAGTAGTCGTACGTTAGTAGTAGTAGTAGTAGTAGTAGTAGTAGTCGTAGTAGTAGTAGTAGTAGTAGTAGTAGTAGTAGTAGTGGTAGTAGTAGTAGTAGTAGTAGTAGTAGTTGTAGTAGTAGTAGGAGAAGTAGAGAAAGTAGTAGTAGTAGTAGTAGTAGTAGTCGTCGTCGTCGGGCGTTATCGCGAATAGTAGCAAAGTGGTATCATGGCCCAGACGCGTGGACGCCCAGCTGCACCTCTGGAAGAAGCTTCGACATTGGCCGCTGGCTTGCCTACCCGGCCACTGGCTGACACCGGCCCTCCGCAACCTGCAGGTCGTCGGGCGCTGTTGCCAGCCGCGCGTTTGGGCCGCAGTTTTCCGTCTTCTTTGCAACGGGTGGCGCACGCACTCGCGATATGGCAGAGTTGGCCCCTGCAGAATGTGCAGCGGCGGGACGGACAGCAGTCGGCACTTCGCTTCTTGCACCGTTGTCCGCACGTTGCAGAGTCGCTTCCTTGACATCCTTCGACCAAGTCGGGGCTTCGAGCTCGATGCTTTGATGGGGTTTGATTGGCGTCGACAGGGCGAGCGCGCTGTGATCGATTGGGCCGTCTCCGCGTACGCCTTGTACTGGGTCCACATCGGTGGCCTCCCCGGCAGGCTCGCGCTTCAGGACATCAGCGGCGCCTTCGACGGCTACTTGCGGAAGGCCCGCGGGTGGTCGACTGAGTGGCCTTCCCTCCCTCCCTTGCTTCCTCGCGGGGGCGCAACTGTTGGTCCCGCTCGCGCGGGCAGAGTTTTCCTTCCTCCTTCCATTTTGTGCCGTCGCGCGCGCGTCACATTGACCGTCCATTTCTTTGTCTCCCGCCCCTTGTTGCTGCGCGTTGCTCGCCTTGGGCTCCCTCTTTCTCCGCCGTCCCTCACTTTTGCTATGCTGCCTCCTCTCTCGCTCGCTCGTCTGCTCCTCTCCCTGCTGTTCTTCGCCCTGCCAGCGCTGCTGCTGTCTTCCTTCCCGTTTGTCATCTCCGCTCCTCTCTGCTGCCTGCCATCCTCTTCCTGCTCGTGCTACTGTTGCCCACCGCGTGGCGATGTGCTTCTGTCGCTGCGCCAGAGCAGTCGATGCGGGCAGCGATGCGATCGGCTTTGCGATTGGCTTCCGCTGTGTCCTATATCAACGTTTGGAGGCCGTTGGGGTTGCGCACGCAATGCGTTCGTCCAGTTTTGATGTAGGTTTCGTTGCAGATTTGGCAGTAGCAATCGATCGTCTGGCGGTTGCGCCGGCCCCGCGGTGCAGATTTAAGACGTTCGTTTTTCCGGGATTAAAATTATTTTCGGGCGCCTTGGAGCACTGCGGCAGTGCGAATACTGCGTAGTTTGCGAAGGTTTCTGGCTTCGGGCGCGCGAGTATCGCGTAATGTGCGCGGGATTGTTGATTCGGGGACGCAAGAATTTGTTAATTTTCAAAGGTTTGTGGCCTCGGGGGCGCGAGCATTGCGTAATTTACAAACGGATTATAGCCTCGGGAGCGCGAGTCTCACGTATTTTTATGTGTTCCGCGCCGCCCTGGGGATTCAGAGCGCGAGATCTGGGCGCGGTCGATTCAGCTGTTTGGCCCCCCCCCCCCCGCGCGGACTTCACCACCTGATTGTAGGAGGCAGAACGCAGGAATGTAACATCGGAGACCTGCAACTGCAACGAGTGCAGGGAACTGCAACTTCGTCCTACAGCCTGTTGGCCCCGCGAGGGTGCCGGCGGACACAACGAGCCCGCCGCAGGCGCCATTTGTTCGTCAAAACAATGTGAGTGGGTCGCGGGGCGGGTCGCGGGTAGGTCGCGGGTGGGTAGCAGGGCGGCTCGCGGCGTTGGTCGCGGGGTGGGTCACGGGGTGGGTCTCGGGTGGGCGCGGGGTGGGTTGCGGGTGGGTCGCAGCGTGGGTTGCGGGTGGGTCTCGGGTGGGTCGCGGGTGGGTCGCGGGCCGCGGGGTGGGTCGCGGGTGGGTCGCGAGGCGGGTCGCGGGGTGGGACGACGCCGAGCAACAACAAAAACAAGCAAACAATCAAACAATCAAACAAACAATCAAACAATTTATCCCAGTGCGACCCGATCTAGGAGTTGGAGCCCCTAGGAAAGCAGCATTCGTAGTAACAGAAAAGCTAAAGCTAAGATAAAGCTAAGCTAAAGCTAAGCTGAAACTAAGTTAAAGCTAAGCTAAAGTTAAGCTGAAGCTAAGCTAAAGCTAAGCTAAAGCTGAGCTGAAGCTTAGCTAAAGCTAAGATATAGCTAAGCTAAAACTAAGCGAACGCTAAGCTAGAGTTAAGCTAAAGCCACACTAGAGCTAAACTGAAGCTAAGCTGAAGCTAAGCTGAAGCTAAGCTAAAGCTAAGCTGAAGCTAAGCTGAAGCTAAGCTAGAGCTAAGCTAAAGCTAAGCGGAAGCTAAGCTGACGCTAAGCTATAGCTAAGATGAAGTTAAATTGAAGCTAAGCTGAAGCTAAGCTAAAGCTAAAGCTAAGCTAAAGCTAAGTTAAAGCTAAGCTAAGGCGAAGCTAACGCTAAGCTAAAGCTAAGCTCGAGCTAAGCTAAAGTTCAGCTAAAGCTAAGCTGAAGCTAAGCTAACGCTAAGCTAAAGCTAAGCTAAAGCTAAGCTAAAGCTAAGCTAAAGCTAAGCTAAAGCTAAGCTGAAGCTAAGCTAGAGCTAAGCTAAAGCTAAGCTAGAGGTAAGCTGAAGCTCAGCTGAATCTAAGCTGAAGCTAAGCTGAAGCTAAGCTAGAGCTAAGCTAGAGCTAAGCTGAAGCTAAGTTGAAGTTAAGCTAAAGCTACGTTAAAGCTTAGCTGAAGCTAAGCTAAAGCTAAGCTAAAGCTAAGCTAAAGCTAAGCTAAAGCTAAGCTAAAGCTAAGCTAGAGCTAAGCTAAAACTAAGCTAAAGCTAAGCTAAAGCTAAGCTAAAGCTAAGCTGAAGCTAAGCGTAAGCTGGGTGAACCCAGGGGGCGCGACTGGGGGAACCGCGGGGCGGGGACTGGGGGAACCGCCCGGGGCGATTTACATTGCCCAGCCCTATTAAGCTAAGAGAGTAAGAACCCTTCTAGGCAGAGCCTAGGCAGGGAACAAACAAACATCAAACAAACAAACAAACAATCAAACAAACAAACAAACAAACCAGCAACACCAACAGCAACGGTAATCCGCATTGCGGAATGCGGTTTCAGCCACGCACCCACGGACAGTGAATGACTGCTCGGCCCCCTCACTCTGATAATCTGTAGTTGTAGAGGTGGGGAGGGGGGACCAGGGCTGGATGGTGGCAAGGAACCAAAGGGTGACTTTCTTGGCGAAGTAGCCTCGAGAGCACGGTCGGCATTGGGGCGTGTGCGTGCGTGCACATGTGTGTGTGTGTCTGTGTATATGTGCGTGTGCGTGTGTGTGTGTGGGTGCGTGCGTGCGTGCGTGCGTGCGTGCGTGCGTGTGTGTGTGTGTGTGCGTGTGTGCGTGTGTGTGTGCGTGTGTGTATGTGCGTGTGTGTGTGTGTGTGTGTGTGTTTCTTCTGTTTGTGTGTGTGTGTGTGTGTGTGTCACGTACTGCTTCCGTGCCAGCACACTTGCAGGCGTTCCCGGGCCGTGCCCGGTGCAGCGCCGCTTCAGCGCGTGGCTTGACGCAGATTGGACCAGTGCGGCCTTCGTTCGTATGCAGTGGAAGTCCTGGTTGCTCAAGGGCTACCAACACACTATCAGCGATGGTGCTCTACCAGCCGACCTCTGCGCCGACGTTCTCGGGCATTCCGTTGGTACCATTCCAATTGACATCCCCGGCCTCGCTCCCTCACCTGCACCGTCCCGCGCCAGTTCACCAGTGTCTGGCGGCGGGGCCGCCTTCAGCCTCTCCGGAAGGTGGGGGCGGCAGTCTTGGCGTTAGGTCCTGCCTCGCCGCCCTCCTGCCGTCGGGTTTGTGCCCCAATTTTGGTCTCCGTGCCTTGCGCCTTGCACCTCATATTGCCATCGCCCTTTGGCGCGCAATGCAATAAGCTCGGCTTCGCTGAGCCTTCTTTCCTTGTTTCCTTGCGATCGCCGTTGGGGCAGCCCCTCGGTCCCGTGCCTCGCTGTCTTCTGGCGTCGTTGTCTCCTGCTGCCGTGTGTGTGTGTGTGTGTGTGCATTTGTGCGTGTATGTGTACGTGTGTATGTTTGTGTGTAGTATTCCCCGCCAATTTGGCCCTTCGGCGCGCCAGAGAAGTGTGTGTGTGTGTGTGGCTCTCCGCTGGTGCCTGTGGCTTCGTGGCTCCCTCTTCGGCACTGCTTTAACATTCTGATCTGAGTCTCATTGTCACTCCTTTTCGCTGGTCACATGGTACGTTCCGGCTTTGTACCTCCTGGCCCGCGGCAGCTGCCGCTCACGCATACTCCTCGTGCAGAGCATGCGCTCCTGACAGCCCAGGATTCAGGTTGTCGCTCCGTTCCCTCCCACATTGTCTGAATCTCGCATCCTGCAGATCCGACGCTGCCAAAAAGTTGCGACAATGCGAACAAATCACCGCCGGAGCCCAGGACCTCATCTTTTCGAGTCATTCTTCGAGTTAAACCGATCTGTGAGGGTCTTGGGTCCCGAAATTGGGCGAAAACGCCAGTTGTGAAAGAATTGTATCGTCTGGATCTCAGGGACCTGTCGTTGGCCCTGGTCTCTTGCGCCGCGTCCTCTGGGCCTCCTCCCAGCTGCGCACGCGGGCTCCTGTCTTCCTGTTCTCCCTCTCGGGGCCCAGTCGCACCTGCCCGGCTGCTGCACGTTCTTCAGCTAACCGCCCCCGCGCGCACGCGCCCCACTGCGGATGCGTCTCTCCCACTCGGGCCCGACGCATCTCCTGCATCAGTAGGCTGGGCGACTTGCCTGCATGCGCCTGCCAACGCCAGGTGGTAGCAAGTTGTTTCTGTTGTTTGCGCTTGTTTCTATCACTCTGTGTCGCGACGGTGCCGCCACCTCGCTGGAGGAGAAAAACAACGTGTGCCCCCGGATGTTGCCTCAGCTCGTGGGTTGCTCTGGCCCGCAAGTCCTGAGGAGCGCATCATTGGACCTGCCGCTGCCAGATCTCGCCGGCGGCTCGTCCGCCCTTTGAGCAACAGCCGAGGCCGTGTCGGCAGTACGTGCTGACTTCGGGGCCATCCGACGCTCCGAGAGAGGATCAGCGGGAGCCCGACCCCGTTGTTCGCGTCGGAGGAGGAGGAGGAGGAGAAGGGGGCTTCGAGAGGAGCCGCGGGACGGCCTGCCGTGCAGCGGAAAGCCGGCTGCCCACGACGCGGCCAGCCTGGGCGAGGGCTGGAGGCGCACGTGGCCGCACGTCTTTCCCAGCGCTCGGCCCTTCCCCATGGCCAGGGGCGCGGACCCTCCACGTGTGTACTCCAGATCTCGTAATAAAATGGAGGGGGTCTGGACCCTCCAAGACGAGAAGTTTCAGAGCCCCCCCCCGTGGGAGAACCCTCCAAAACGTCGTCCCCAGACCCCCCCCCAGGCCCTCCAAGACAGCCTGGAAGAGACCCCCCCCCCGAAATGAGACCCCCTTCCCTTTATTACGAAATCTGGAGTATCCAGCGCGTGGCCCCCAGGTGTCTCGCATGTGAGTCCAGGCACGTGTGTTTGATCTAGCCTCCCGGCGGGCTGTCTACTGGAGCCCCTTTCCTGCAGGCGTAAGGCCACCACTCGTCGTCGTCGGCCTCCTCGTCCTGGGAGGACTGCAGACCACTCTTGCAACCGGTCGCATCGGCGTGCGCGGATTTTCCATCTGCGCTGATCGTGGCCCAGTCCGGTTACGCACGGGGCTAGGCCGAGGATAATCCATTCCAGAGCGTTCCAGAACGCTCTCAGAGCGTTCAGGAACGCTCTGAGAGGGCCACGGCGCCCGAGACATCCCCCAGAGCCGCGGTCTCTCAGAGATGCCCGATTCAATTTCACCGGAGATTGTCCTCGTCTGGCTTCGTCTTGCTGCTCTGCTCTGGTCCCAGGATGGGCCAGGCCAAGAGCGGTGTACGAAGGATTGCAAAAAAACCGAAGGATTGCAACGAGGTTTTTTTTTGCAATCCTTCGTTCAACTAAGGGTTTTTTTGCAATCCTCCGACGCTGCATGCAGTCAAGAGGCTGGAATCATGGCCACACTCGGCTCGGGAGGGGCTCTAGTGGTCGGCCGCTCCCGCAGAGCTATTTCATAGGGGGGACTGCACTCGAGGCCGAAAAGTTCGCCGTGGCCAGCAGGGGCCCTTCCGTTCCTGACTCGGCGTGCGTTGTTGCAGCGCACGGCTGCATTGGTTACCGCTTGTCCCCGGATGCTCCCGACCGATACTTCGAAAGTTGTTTTGTTGCGCTCGTTCCTGATTCGGCGCTCGTTGTTGTAGCATACGACTGCATTGGTTACGGTAGGTCCGCGTCGTGTCGACCAGCAGCGACCCCGCCGCCTGCGTTCAACGTGGAACGCCGCCGGCGACCCAGAATCAGTCGATGCTGCCCGATCTGGCGTTTCGGAAACGGTCGATCGTTCAAGGTTTAACGATCCCCGTAGTGTCAGGAACCAACGCCAGGGTCGACACGACACGAACCCGCGGTACCGCTTGTCCACGGATGCTCCCGACCGATACCTCCAAAGATGTTTTGCTGCGCTCCGCTTCTTGCACGACCTTCTACCAGGCCCGAAAGCAGCCCTCCCCCATCGGAGACGTTGCGGGGTTGTTGTTGCTCCCATGCTAGGTTCATCTCCTCCTCCTTCCCTGGAGGCCGGAGAGGAGAAGGAAGAACAGGAAGAGGACGAGGAGGAGAAGAACGAGGAGGACGAGAAGGAAAAGAAGGAGGAGAAGGAGGTCCGTGGCCATTTTAGCTCCAGGCTAAACGGAGGACGCTACAGTGACATAGCTGGCTCTGATTAGCGTGGGCCTGTCCGTCGCCCCTTGTCCAGCGCTTACGGCCGCACAGGCGATCTCGGCGTGCGCTGCCCTTGGCCTCGGCGTCTCTTCTTTCTCGTCCACGGCCTTTTGGTCCACCTTCCCTCCGGCGCGGGCCGCGCCTTCTGCGGAGCGGATGCCCGGCGATGATGACGGGCTGCGGGCGTCCAGATCTCCGTCCAGGGCTTCCAGGATCGGGCGACCCATGGCGTGCCCACCAAGGCCGCCCACCAAGGCCGGACACTTTACGACGAAAGTGCCCGGTCCTGTGATTTGTCGTAAAGTGTCCGGCGCTCGCCTGGTTCCACCCCAAACAAAAAAAAGATCGGGCGACCCATGGCGTGACTGTCAAAGGCTTCGGGCTTCTGATCGACGGTCTCGGGCTGCCGCCGCGCGGCCCTCGCAGCAGCCCGCTGCTGCCCCCTCTCGGCGTGCACTCGACCACCAGCAGGGAGGTGAGGAAGGCGAGATGCCCGTTGATGATGCACTTGGAGCGACTCCTCCCTCGGACCTCGATTCCACATCTGCGAAGTTCTGTGGAGAGATCTTGGAGACCATCGACTCCAAGTTCAAGGCCCTCAAGGGCGGCATCGTCGGTGACGCCACCGCCCACGCAAAACAGTTGGTCAAAGCGGTGGCTGGTCGACAGGAGAAGACCAGCGTGCAAGTCCGTGTTGACATCACAGAGCTCCAGCGTCGCTAAGGTGATGCTGCAGCTCAGCAGCGACAGCTTCGTGAAGAAATTCATGCCATGCGCAAGGCTTTCTGCATGGCGGTGTGTGTGGTGCACATCGGATGTGTCGAGCCGGTAGCTGAGTGGGCCAGAGCGCCTGACAGCACGATCGTGGTCGCCAACGTCACCCACAACGTCGAAATCTGGGTTCTAAAAACCGTCCTCAAGCCGTGGCTGGAGGAGGCCAAGGTTTTGGAGGACCAGTGGAAGCTCATTGGGCTGACTCTAGGCCGCATGTTCATCATGGTGCAGTTCTCGCGTGGCGTCAACGCGCGTCGCCGCAGGCTTGTGGTTGCGAAGAGATCGCTCGAGGACGCCTGTGGCACTTGGCGCCAGTTATCGGCGACCGCCATGCTCATGGTACTTCAAGGGTGTTTGCGTGGACTATGACAAATCCCCAGATCAACTTAGAACGGCTATCCATACAAAGGATGTCTCTTCCCATCTTTGTGAGGCTCATCCGCAGTCTCGGCATCGACCTGTTCGTATCAAAGGAGTTGTATTTCCCGACGGTGCTCCCTGTGTACAAGTACAAGTGGGTCGAGAACTTGACGACCCCCCACAGCCTCTCTGGAATTACGGGGGGGATGTAGCAACATGGGGTGCACAAGGACCGAAGCGGTGCTGTCGCCCCTTTGAATATCCATTGTCATGCAGATCAGGTGGTCCAATGGCACATTTAGCAGTACACTTAGCACGTGGACAGAAGATTCCCAGAAAGTTCCCAACCACAGTATTCACTTTACGATTTGGAATGTCATAGCCTGACCAAGCTCGCCCCAAGCATGGCAGAATGCGGTCATCAAGTCTTTGGATGGAGGGTGGACGACGGAGAGGAGGAGGACATATAGACTGACTGCCCATGCAAATTCAGGTGCCCGGATGCTGTCGACGCGCAGCGGCACTACATGTATTGTGCGGTCCTCTGGGAAGCGATTCGCTCTGTCTGGCAGCCGGAGGTTCCCAACGACTTTTTCCTGAACCGTCGGATAGGCTTTCCTCGGGCCATGTCGGATTCCGAAATGCTCCTGGCGGTCCAGAGGGTGGTTTTGAGTTGTTTCCTCTACTATGCGGTCCGAGGGTCTCCAAGGATCGAGGACAATGCTCCGCACATGTTTGCCCGAACTGCCCGATCTCAGCTTTTATTGCAACAAGCTGTTTCCGAGGAGGCGTAATCCGAATGAATCTGGTCCGAGTTACGTGCGAAGAGGAGGAGGAGGAGGAGGAGGAGGAGAAGGAGGCGGAAAAGGAGGATCAGGACGAGGATGAGGAGAAGGAGGAGGAGGAGGCGGAGTAGGAGGAGGCGGAGGAGGACGAGGAGGAGGACGAGGAGGAGGAGGCGAAGGTGGAGGAGGAAGAGGAGGAGGAGGTGGAGGTGGAGGTGGTGGTGTTTGGAGGAGGAGGAGGAATAGGAATAGGAGGAGGAGGACGACGACGAAGAGGAGGAGGAGGAGGAGGCGGAGGAGGAGGAGGAGGAAGAGGAGGAGGAGGAGGAAGAGGAGGAGGAGGAGGGGGAAGAGGAGAAGGAGGAGGAGGAGGAGGGGGTGGAAAAGGAGCAGAGGGGGAGGGACTGCAACCCGTGCCGCCCACCTCTGCCTCCTCCCTCGTTCACCTCCTCCGCAGCCAGCCCTCCGCTGCCTCCTTCCCCGGACCCCTTCTTGGATCCATCCAGAAGCCGTCTCTCGGGGTGGATCTAGCCGTGGTGACGAGAGGCCCCCAGAAGGCCCCTCCAGGGAAGGCCGCCGTTGCCTCAACAGGGCCTTGCTGCTTTCGTCTTCGCCTCTGCCATTGCGCCCCGCTGGCTCGCCTCCGCGACCCTCTCTCGGAGCCGTCCGGCCCGTGCGGGCGTTGAGCGCCTCCGACGACGGCTGGCTGCGGCTGTGGGACCTGGAGGGCCTGGCGTGCCTGTGCTGCGCCCAGGCGATGGTGCTGAGGTTGTTGGTGATGATGATGCTGAGGATGATGATGGTGCTGCTGCTGCTGATGATGACGATGAGGAGGAGGAGGATGCTGATGAGGATGTTGATGATGATGGTGGTGGTGATGATGATGCTGATGATATTGATGACGATGGTGCTGTTGTTGTTGATGATGGTGATGGTGGTGATGCGGATGAGATGTATGAGGGCAAGTCTTTTTGATTTTTTGATTTGCGCGCGGGTGATCGTCTGCCGAACACTCCTGCCCGTGGCGCCGAAACGACGAGCGAGGGGCCCGAAGAAGGGCCGAAAGAAGCGAGGGACGGACCAGGACCCGAACAGAACCGAGCGAGGGACCGACCCGAGCAAAAAGGGACAACGAAAACTCGAGGGCCCGAGACACGCGATGCTGGCAAGACTGGTGAAACAATTTGAAGCCCGCGTCCTGGCTCCTGGGCTTCCAGCCTCAACCTGCCAGGCAGCACATTATACAACAGACCAGCAAGGCGGCGGAGAGCCCTTTCCTCTCTTCGCGAGCCTGGGCTGGGGGGGGGGCAAAAGGAGCACATAAAGGATGAGTGGGCGCAGGCGGTACGGGTGCCTGCTTGTCAGCGCCTCTGTACCCACTCATCCTAAGCCTAGCCTATGTCCGACTGTCCGACTGTAGGGAGAAAGCATAGACAGAGAGGCTGCACAGAAAACCCCAAGCGGCGGGCGGGCAAGAGTCTTCTCTCTTTGCGAGCCTGGCCAGGGGAGGAATGACAAGAGCACAGAAGGGATAAGTGGGCGCAGGCGGAACGGGTGCCTGCTTTTCAGCGCCTCTGTACCCACTTATCCCAAGCCTATCCTACACTTCGACTGTCCGACTGTCCGACTGTAGAGAGAAGGAAGCACAGACAGAGAGGCGTGCACAGCTATCCCCGCGCGGCGGGCAGGCAAGAGTCTTCTCTTTGCGAGCCTGGCCAGGGGAGGAATGACAAAAACACAGACGGGATAAGTGGGCGCAGGCGGAACGGGTGCCTGCTTCTCAGCGCCTCTGTACCCACTTATCCCAAGCCTACCCTACTTCCTGGAGGCTGTCCTCTGTGGCGGCCAGGAAGGGGAGTACTGCAGAACGAAACTTCTGGCGGCTGGTGCCGGGGATCCGAGTAGTCCTGCCAGCATCAGACAGACGAGACAGACCAGATATCCCTAGGCGTGCCCTTGCGGCTCGGTGGGCAGCACACACACCAGAACCGTTACATCCACCCCACCTCCGAAATATACACGAGAAATCTACGGGGCCTCTAGAAGCCATGCAGGATCAAACACTGCCTGAAAATTAAAGACATCGTGAGGGGCAGGAAAGGCATATATAACGTTGACATTGTCAACCGCAGTGACCTCACCGACTGGTTGACCAGTGCAGGGGTCACGACCATCACACATGCGTCGAAGCCGTGAGATGGTGCCAGAGGCCCGAGGGGGCCCAGTGCATAATCTAGTTAAACCAACTGCTTTCTTGCACGAGTAGCGGCCGCATCGTCGACAAAATATGATATTATTTAGCCGCCTGAGCACGTGCCCACCGCCAGTGGGAGAAGAACACTGTGTACGGAATACATAGCTCTTGGAAACTGAACTAGCCCAGCAATTCAAGCATCGAAACCGACCCGCCGAGGGGTCCCAGAAGTGCTCATGCAATGCCCCAGAGGAGGCACCAGAGAGGACTAGGGATGGGGCCGTGGGGGCGGGGGGCTCATCAGAATCCACCACCCAAACCTTTTTGGGCACGTTCTTGAAAATCCATGCTATACAATGCCCGATATACACACCAAGATTGCGCACAAGCAATCCAGAGCGCTTGACACGGTCGTGCAGTACCGTGTCCAGCGTGTGTAGGTCAGCACCTAGGTTAGCAAGTCTGTCCGCTTGCTTATTACCAGCAGAGGTAGAATCGCCATGCACCTTGGTGACCTTACTTAAATGATACCCAATATCTGAAGCCGCACGGTGGACACGGACCCACAAGGATGCGTGAGTGGCCCATCCGTGCGTGGTAGCTTCATACCCCAATGCCCATCCGTCCACAACGTACTGGGCATCAGTGACAAACTCATAGCAGTCAGAGGGGGCAGCATGGGTTAGGTAAAATAAAAACGCATAAAGCTCAGCCCCTGAGACATCCTGGGTGAGAAAGGGATATACGCCATATGCACCAGCATTAAGCCGAAGCCGATCATTCGCGATGGCCTCTCCGAAAACATTGCGACTACGCGGGGCAAATGAGCATACGCCCCATCCACAGCGGAGAGTGAGCGGCGAGGGACCATGCTTTCCCGAGCCGTCTCCAAACGCGGGCGACGAGAAGAAGGGGCCGTCTGTGGTTCCTTCCCAGACAGGGTCTGGAAAAGGTGGTGCGAGCAGGGAGCAATAGCGAGGGTCGGGAACCAAGGCAGTGGTCCAGACAGGGTTCTCGCGGTACTGCTCTATGCAACGGGTGAGGGCTGGAGTCGGGCCGAACCAACGACGAAACTCCACAAGCCCATCACGCTCATACAGGGTGCGAAACACGGGGTCAGAGGGGGCGACCTGGCAAATGGGGCACACAGGTTTAAAGTAAATGCCCCCAGATAAAAAGGCCCTCAAAGCACGTTGCTGGAGGACACCCCATCCTTCAGTCTTTTTAGACAAAAGGGAAAGAAGAGGGGGAAGAACGGGGGGGCCAGACAGGTGACTGAAGGATGGGTGACGCTCAGAGGCCTGTTTCCAGGACCAGACAGACGCGTCGCGAATCACTAGTGCCACCACTTCACGAGGGGAAGTAGACGAAATATCAACGTCAATTCCAAGAGAAGTACGCCATATTGTAGGCGAAACCGCAGACCACCCAATTCTACGCATAGTGGCAACCAAAATTTGTCCTGGGCCCTGCAATTCAGTCCACGGGGTATCTGGCGTCACCTTGGCGTAGACAAACTGGAAAACTTGATCTATCATTCCGACAGGAAGAAGAGAGTCCCATCTAGAGGCAGTCCAGAGACGAATAACCTCAGCATGAGCATCGGTAGCAGGATCGGTAACACCACGCAACGCCAAATCCATCGTGACAGACCTGCGCTTACCTGTGCCGAGACCAGCGTGGTATATAGCACGGACCTGACGAATCTGGTGAGTAGATAGACCGACGACGTCAATGCCGTACATGACAGTGGGCCGCAAGTTAGTGTTTACAATACCTGCTACCTTTGCACCAGCCTTCTTTATCTTCAATAAGCGACGGGCCTTAAACCTGGCCTTTTTCAATCGGCCAGTAAGAACAGGACGAGAACGACGCCCCTGACGTAGCTGATAGTCAACCCCGAGGTTTCGACACGAGAACTTGACTGCACCAGCGAGGCGAGGAGTTTCAGCTGCAATGCTCTGAGCCAACTGGGGGTCGGTAGCCAAGAACACGATTTTCTTCCCGGAGAGCGGTAAACATGCCGAGAAGGTAAGCTTTCTCATCAAAAGGTGCGACGCATCGGGACCGATTTTGAGCAACTCCCTCTCCGAGCCTATCCCCAGGACCTGGACGTCGTCGGCGACGAGGCCGAGGTGCATATTGGGATAAGGCTGACGAAACGAATCCAACTCGGGCATCAATAAAATACGCATAAACAGGTCGGCAAAGGAGCTACCTGCTACAATAGTCTTGCTAGCTCTGACCCACTCCCCAACAATTCGCCGCAACGTGACAACACGTGGGGGACGATACAGAGACAGGAAAACCCTCAAGAGTGCTGGATGAAAACCAAACTCACTAGCACGTCTAATGAGAGGTTTGTGGCGAACCTGCTCAAATGCCTTCTGGATGTCGAGCAAAAGTGCAAACACAGACAAACCTTTGGCATATGCTAACTCCGTGAGCACGCCCATGCGCCACACACATGCCTGGCAGGAATGACCGCGCACACAATACACGTACGGACGAGGGTGCAATCGCGCCCACATAGCACCATACGTGTGCCTGAAGAACCGAGAGGACGTGCGCACACACGTCGTGAATAGGGCAACCGTACGCTCACCACCATTGGGCTTCGGGATCAGATTCATGATGAAAACAGCGAGAATGGGAGGAAATCTACCCAATCGCAGAACAGCACGCCAGATACCAAACAGGGCAAGCAGGGACGAGTCGGAGGGCAGCGCATGGTGACGTGGATGCATAAAGTCCAATCCCACCGACGTACGAGCTTTGTACTTGCGACACATCTGTCTGTACTTGTCCAGGGACGGGCGAGGCAAGGATGCAAGGCAGTCAGGCGGTAATGGCGGAAAATCCAGGGCTCGGCAAGGATCGTCAGGGTGCTCCTGCATGGGCTCCCAGATAGCATGCCAAGCTACTCCTCGCGCCTTGAGATGATGCTGCGGCGTACCGACTGGGGCATCTGGGTCCGGGGTGGTCTTGTCAAAGGAAGCCCAATCCATAGATCCCTTGACGAATCGGTGCGCAGCAGAACCCCCTTCCTGGACCGAACGAATGGCCCACGATGTCCAGGATTGGTACCTCTGCGCCGATGCTGCACGTTCCAGAGCAGATGCAGACTCAACCAAGACGCCCCGCAGCCAGTCTATGGAACCCAGATCTAGGGTATCAAGCCTGTTGGCATAGTACCTCCACCACGACCAATCGGGGGGAGGACCACCATCACGCTGCGAAGGACGATATCGGCGCAGGGCTTGGCAGGCTCTCCGATATGCGGGCCACTGCTGCTTGTCAGCAAGATATATAAGAGTACCAAGACGGTTAGAGAGATACCTCCAGAGCCTTCCTTCGTATGACGAAAGCACACCACCAGGAAACAGTCTGGAAACCGAGATCTGGATGGCCGAGGAAGGCTCACCCCACTTGGTGTAATCCTGCGGGTCTGGCAACTGGAAAAGGGCAAGCAACTCCTGGGCAGACGTCTTCAGCCAAGAAGAGGTAAGGCGTTCCAAATCTTCCACATAGTTGACTGCGTCAGGATCAGGAAAGGCATCCCAGGAAGGCGGGCAGTTTGAACACCCCACTGGACG